TGAGAAGTGAAAGCGTAGCGAGCGGTCAAACATGCGCTCTCCGACAGCTGGAATAAACGGCACGTTTCACCTTGACCGCTTGTGATCAATAACTTCAAAACAAACAAACAGAAAAATCCGCCGGGCTTGCCGTCTGCGCTGTCGTTCATTTCAAAAATTCCCCTAAAACACTTTTTTTTTCTTTGTAAAAAAATTTAAAATTGGACCTTAACCCGTGCTTGCATCGATTTAAAAAAAAATGCTCCGAAATCGTTGCTGCCGTTACGCTGATTCTCGAAGAAATGCGGTAGCATTTATCGCAACATTAACCCCTCTTCTCCCTAATGCAGGCAGATCAGGTCACCTAGCGTGTGTACGAAAGACGTGCCCGCGATGCACGGAAAACAACAGGGCCATTTCGTCGTTGTGCAAACATGTTGTGCATACAGGGGCGACGACACCGCGCGCTAACGGCCCGGAGATACGGTAAGAAGACTGTCAAGAACGGCGTGGCAGAAGAACGGAACACCAGCCCGTGTGCGTCCACAGGTCTTCAAAGCTGATGGCAGGAAAAGCGCGCACCCGCGCCGGCCGCAAGCCGGCCGCGTGACGTGAGAAAGTGGCGGGCTTGACCACGCGCCCCAGCGATCATACCTCGGCAAACCTCACTCATGAGGGCCCTCACTCACCCTCATCTTCACAGGTGAGGTGAGGGTGAGTGAGTTTCTGAACCAGGAAAATTCATGAATGTGAGGGTGAGTGAGGGCCGTGAGGGCCGTGAGGGCTGCGAGGGCGGTAAGGGCCGTGAGGGCGGTGAGGGCTGTGAGGGCCGTGAGAGCGGTGAGGGCCATGAGGGCCATGAGGGCGGTGAGGGCGGTGAGGGGTATGAGGGCCATGAGTGCGTGAGGGGCGTGAGGGCGGTGAGTGCGTGAGGGCCATGAGTGCTTGAGGGCAGTGAGTGGCATGAGAGGCGTGAGGGCCGTGAGGGTGGTGAGTGCATGAGGTGTGTGAGGGCCATGAGTGCGTGAGGGCGGTGAGTGCGTGAGGCCCCCTTCAGATCGAGCATCTTTCTCAACAATTTTGTGTTAATGGCGGGTTGTTCTCTAGCTTTCCCTAGATCGACACGAATTGCTGAGATCGGGTCCGGCTCGATATAAGCAAGCAACTCGGAGCAATTCGAATACGTTTGAAGCGGCTGCATCCAATCAGGGACGCAAAATTTTCACGTGATACCTCGTGCCGGTGATGGTGACACCGAAAGACTTGGTTCTGGTTTGAAATCGATCGTTTTTTTGGAAATAAACTGTTTCAGAAAGGTGCATTAGTATTCTTAACGAGATTTAAATGCATAAAAACACGTTTATAACGCGTAATTGCGTCTAAATAGTGCAAGAAAAATGAAATTTTGTGATGACGATGGCAAATTGCAGCAACTGGTTGCTGCGTGTGATCGCGGGCGGCCCGTGTTGCTGGTGTTGCGACGTAAAGTTTCTGGGCGAAATTGCCCCATCTGAAGCTGGCCTGAGTGGCGTGAGGGCCATGAGTGCGTGAGGGGTGTGAGGGCCGCAAGGGCAGTGAGGGGCGTGAGGGTGGTGAGGGGCGTGAGGGCGGCGAGTGGCGTGAGGGCAGTGAGGGGCGTGAGGGCGGTGAGTGGCGTGAGGGCGGTGAGTGGCGCGAGAGCTATGAGTGCGTGAGGGCCGTGAGGGCGATGAGAGCGGCGAGGGCCGTGATGGCGGTGAGGGGCGTGAGGGCGGTGAGTGCGTGAGGTTCAGTGAAGGTGAGTAAAGGGCTGAAGGTGAGTGTAGCTGTGAGGGTGAGGGTGAGTGAGGGGCTTAGGTGAGTGTGGCTGTGAGGGTGAGTGAGGGCGACTTAAAATGCCGACCTCTGCCAGCGATACACCCGCCGTCCCCCACTCCGCCGGCGATCTTATGGCTGTGGCGCCATCCCGTGGCGAGATTGCAAACTTTATAAACGCGTGCTCCAACCACGTCCAAGGTCAGCGCATGTGCCAGGGCACTATTGCTAACAGATTAAAAAATCATCTGCAAAACTGTCTCATGACGATAATAAAGCTTATAAATATTACCCTCTGAAAGTCTTATGTGGGACATGTACTACAGCACACGTTACTAAAAAAAGTAATTAAGTTAATTACTGAGTATTGTTGAAGCTACTTTCATTATTTTTTTATGGTAAAGAGTACATAAGATTTGTCCCATTAGCGGAAGTCTGCTAGCCAAATATAAAGCGGCTTGTGTGTTCACAGAAATGCTTTAATCGCTGGTTCTACTTCTTTTTGGTCAATGATGTACTGAAGATTTATCTTTCTAATTTGAGGTTTAGCACTGCCTGAGCTTGATTCTGCAGACAGCGTTTGCTTGTTTATAGTGTTGCGTAAAGTACATCTAAAAAGTACTTGAACCATTTGCGATATCCCCCAAATGCCCCGGCCTGCGCTAAAAAGAATCATGGAAACGGTGTCCCCTCAGCTCCTTAGTGATCGTGGTTACACAGCTTTTGAGCGTAATTCGAAGTCACCCTGAACAAGCGTATGATATACCACAATGACCTGTCATATCGCTTTTAAAATTTCTCCTCACTGTCAGCGTTTTTGATACTGTGCATGCTGTCCGCCCTTCAACCTGGATGGGCTGCAGATATCTCTTACATTATTATCATGCTGATTTTAAGTCAGAAACGCTAAAAAGGCTATGAACAGCCCCGCGGACTCCGAGCAAAATCCTGGTTTTTGTTCTTGTGAATTATCGGCTTTTTAAGCAATTCCTGCTCAAACAACAATCACGAGAATGATAGTATTGTAGATTTCTGCAGCTCAACCAGGTTGAAAGGTGGACCGCGTGCGCAGTGTCAAAATGCTGACGTTGACGAGTAAATTTAAAAGTAATATGACAGGTCCTTGGGGTATATCAGGCGCTTGTTCAGGGTGACCACGAATTACGCTCAAAGACTGTAACCATGGACGTGGTCGAAAATTAGGAATCACTAGGGGGTTAAGGAACACCAGTCCCATGATTTCTTCAGCGCGGGCCGGGACGCTTGGGAATACTGCAAGTGGTCTTTTAGAGGCTATGTACTTCAAGTAGAGTAGTAAGTACACCAGGTGCAATGTGCTTGAAAAAGTAGTCAGATAAATACTCTTGCACCTTTTATGTACTAAAAATAATAGTATATGTACTTTTTACTTTTTTAACGCAATCCCCCATGATGCCATTTCATCCCCTATGATTTTTTTAAACTGATATGCATTGATTTAGGAATAATCGGAAGTGCATCCATTTTTCTTTTTCGGAAATGGCGGCAAATATTTGAAAAAGTCAAGTAGCCACAGAGTAGTTGTTTTATACTCGCTGACAAACTATTTAAAGGGATATTACAACGAAATTTTTGCGCTTATTTCTTAGTCTATTCGTGTTCAATGGAGCATTATAACATCAGACACACCAATCTCTTGTTGAAAAAGACACGAAAACTAATCTTAAAACGAATTAAACGATTAGCAAAGAGCACCTGGTGGTATTCGCAAGTGGGTGAAACAGCGAAACGACATGCTCCATGTCACAGTGTAGATCGGTGCAGGCTGTCTTTTTAGGCCTAAACGTATCGTCAGCGATCGGCTGATAGGTTCTTTGCGGGAAACTAGGCACACCAGATTTCTTACACAAATCATTACCATATTTTCCCGACCATAGCCCACGGACTATACACGTTTAAAAGTTAAAAATTCAGCCGATGCGGACTATACAATGATTTGATTTCCTTAGATTCGTTCACTGTGACAAGCCGTGAATATTAACGGGTGCGGACTATCTAAGCGAATACTTTTATTTTTGACCCTAAATTCGACCCTGGGGGCTATGCACCGGGTGCGGAATTGTCCGGAAAATACGGTACTACTCTTTTGATAACATAATAATAATAACATAATAAGGTTAAATAATAACAAGTCTTAAAAGTTTTTTCTTGCCATCCAACTCAAACGGCCCGAGACAGGCCACTTCCAGCAGCAGTGCCTTTGGGACATCGAACATACAACTCGTAGCTCTCCGACACTACTTTCAAGGTTTAGGAGACGCTGCACCGCAAAAGGCGACTTGTCCACACCATGAATGCAACTGCGGCCAGGAGTGTAGTAACGAGGGTGGCCCTGGGCCCCAGGTTGTAGGCATCTCAGTCACGTGGGAAGGGGGGGGGGTGCCACCTCTGGCGACATCCCCCCTCCCTCCTCTCTCTCTCTCCCTGTACTAGTTGCGATCTTGGGGAGTGAATGGGGAAGGGGGGGGGGGGGGGGGGTCAGGATAGCCTAGCTACGCCACTGACTGCGGCACCCTGCCAAGCGATGATGCAATACAGATGTACACAAATAGCCACCCAAAAATTTGTGACAATTTCCATGCCGCCACTACCTCACACCACCTCAGGACCATGCTGGAAGACTGGCAAACCCTGCGGCACGAGCAGTATCACCTAAACTATGTTTACATGTGACGAAATTTGAAAAAGTGTACTGAATGTATAACCCCCCACCCCACCCCCCGAAACAAAATCCTGGCTGCGTGCCTGACAGGAACTCTTCCACGTAGTCGCAAGAAGGAACTAGAGGACCACTATCTGTTCTCCAGTAGCAGAAGTAACATGTATGCTAGGGTATCAAGCTATATAATGCAAGTAGATGTAGTGAACAAGAGTTTGAGCTAGCAGCTACCAAGTTCATTGAATTTCCTGCTGTTGGATATCGGGGACTACTTTAAATCGTGTATATTAAAACTGCTGTCTAGCAATTCAATAAAGCAAGTTATTGGAGAAACCGAAATAAACCGGTTTTCAGAAACGTGTAACCGGAAACCAAAACCATAAAAATTAAAAAAAAGAAAAGGCAATATCAACAGGAAACGGTAACCCTAACCGAAACGTTGTATTTTTCGGTTTGAGTCTGTATAAAACTAACTATTCCACATATCTTAAACCATAGGTTGGAGCTTACGCCATTCAGCTCCACTTACTACTGGTCAAAGCCCATTTTATTTGACACAAATAACATCTCACATTCCATCAAGCTTGGAAAAGCGTACATGTACAAAATATCACAGAAAATGCCACGGAATGCTCAAAATAAATAATTAAGAGACATTCGGAGTATGGCGCGGTCCACGGAGCAGCACTTTATAGGCTGCCCCATACTGGCAGCTCCATGGAGTGAGGAGTGATGGCCATGGCAGCTTGCAGGCTGTATCACACTCCTCGCCGTGCTAGAGCAATGGAGTGTGAGAGCCACCACGGTTACCGCTTCATGGCGATGCCAGTCCAGAGCAGCCCGATATCATGCATTGACATTAATATGGATCACAACTGTACAGGTTTAGGCTTATCACAACCTGTTCTTTGGCTGAGACAATTGTACAATGCCACATGTAAGCAGCCCAAAATAGAACTTGGTGGAACTATTCAACAAACAGAGGTAGATTAAGAAAAAAAAAAAAAGACGAAACCTTCCTGTACAGGCTGAGTATTCCATGCAGTGCATCATGTCTCAGTCCCCTCAAATACGAGATTGTAAACTCCAACAACGCCACGCAAGAAATTGAGGACGTAGAGCTTGTTGGCAGCAGAGACGTGGATTCCCGAGGGTCGGATGATGCGCGAAGACAGCTTCAACACGCTCATGAAGTTTCCATCGAAGTCAAACACCTGCAACCACCAAAGCAAAAATCTAAGATGCACTCAACTCCACAAAAACGGCAACATTGAAAGGCAGTGACTATTTCGACGTCCGCCCATCAAGATACCTCAAAAATAATTTCGACGTCTGAGACGTCATTTCCGTAAAATGCCCAAATAGTGACTATTATTTTGACGTCCTCCCTCATTGCAGCCGTCGCAGTGGTAGGCATTTCGTGGTTTCACCAGTTTCGTTCTGTTTAGTTTCTGATGGTGTTGTCGGTGTCGTGTTGGCAGAGTCATGTGTAGCGTGCCTAAGAAGTTTCGGTCCTAGTTTGCAGTGGAAGTGTCTTATTCAGAGCATGTGTGAGACTGGCTCGACAGTTCATCCATCCGAACTTGACACACCCGGCAGCGATGTTTTGAGCTTGCATTTCACTAGGGACGCGTCTCACTTAATTGGTCTACGACAAAGGCGAGCTGGATGTCTCTCTGCTTTGCCTGTACGTAAGAAATGTAAGTGCATAGACTACTTATCACCGAGAAATTTGGCATGCTTTTTGCGCCTCCATATTGTGCAAGCGAGTCTTCGTATGGTTGCTGTCTGGCTTTGCATCTGACTCCCGCCCTTTTTTTTAACCGGGTTTAGCGAGTTTGTTGTTTAGATTAGATTTCATTTTTGGTTTGTGTGTAACGGGCGGGTCAACTACAAAACGATTGGGATGATAAATAAAAGGTTGTGAACGCAAACATTGCCTCCTTGATATTTCTTGACCGGTGCGAACAAACAAAGGCTCTGGTGCAGTTGTACGAGATACACACATTTGCCAATCAAATGCAAATTTTATAACATGACATTCAGCTCCTTTGTCTATATAAAACATGTTAAATAGATAATTAAAAGTAGTAGTGCCGCATTCTGTAATCTTGGGCACAGCTAAGCAAATGTTACGTGCAGTCTAAAAGCTAGTCTACTTTAAAAAGGGTTTTTAATTTTGCTTTTAGATTACTTAAAAGGGGGGGACACTACCCAGAAAAAATATTTCTGCAAAAAAGTTGACTTTTGAAAATGTTATATTTACATCCACCAACATCTAGAGAGTATTTCCAGAAAGTCTTATTAGTTTACAATGCATTGTTTTTGTTTTTTTTTTATAAATTATTTTTGGTGCACCGATGCTAGAGAAAAGGTAGAGGTTGGAACACTTTGAACGCGTTTTTCTCCGTTCCACTTTTTGGCACAAATTTCACTTTAAGGCCCGTTCGCACTCTTGCGACCGACTTCGACCGAGAGAGACCAGACCGGTTTTTAAGTTTTTTGCGACTTCTTAGGACCGGATGCGATGCAGTGGAGCTGGTCCTAAGAAGTCGCAAGAGGCTTAAAAACCGGTCTGGTCCCTCTCGGTCTAACTCGGTCGCAAGAGTGTGAACGGGCCTTTAGGTATTATTTGGTAAAAGGATGAAAGTATACCAATGTTTGGTATTATGAGTTTTCTAATGATAGTTTTCCTAAACAAAGTCAGTGTGCCCCTGATAAAAACAACCATAATTTCTTTTACAATTCATTTACGCAGATGAAACTGCTCTGCTTTCTGCCTAGCAACTGCGAGCATACACTGCGGATTTCAATTATATTAGGCAAAAGTTGACCCTTTGAAAAAATGTCCCCACCTTAAAAGGTCATAAAAACTGCAGTCGACTGCACATACGTCCACGGAAAACGCGTGTTGAACAGCGACGCTGCCTGAAAGCAAGTCAATATTTGCTTGAACGTCACTTTCTATCACTTTTCAGTCTGATTCGAACGCCGAAGTGGTTGAAGCTCCAAAGTTCGAAGTTTGAGATGTCAAAATAAGGAGGGATATTTTTACGGGGGACATCAAAATGATTTAAAAAATAATTTCATGTCTTCAAGAAGTGGCATCATGATGTAAAAATATTTAAAATTATTTTTAAAGTTTACGTCGAAATAGTCACTGCCACATTGAAAATAAAGCTGTACTCGCTCATTGGATACTTCTAAACGTGCGCGAATAGTAGATAGTTTAAAGCGAATAGTTGTTTTGGCCGAATATTTTCAAATCAAATATAAAACAATTTCTCCATGCCTCTCACTACGGCGCCATACTTAAATGAAAACCCAGCTGAACTTGTGGAGGTTGTTCCCAAGCTTCCAACTGTACATTTATAAGTCAAATTAATTTTAATTTAACTATATTTATGGACGGTGGCCTCAAAGTCCAATGCCTACATTGGAATGGTGCGCAAGTGACACATTTGACATAAAATTAAATTCGTGGAGATGCCCGGCTATTAGCCCCGAGAGCGAACACAAGCGTCACTGCGGTCGCCGCGCCCCAATTGGGTGAGGTGTACCGTGACGTCAGGGGGAGGACTCCGCTCCGCGATCTCGCATCGGCTTGCTTCCCAGCACCGGTTTCCTGGTTTGGCGTTGCGTGCCGCAAGCTCTTCGAGGAGCTGGACTTCGTTTACCCGGTGTACATGACGTTTAGTTAGGCCAGTATTGACGTGCTTCCGTACATTTTATAAGCCTGCTTGGCCCCTTTACCTTTAAAATTGGATTACAAATCCCAAAAGCTATCGTCGGAGGCAATTCCGCCGATGAACCTCCCCGTCCGTCCACACGACACAAGGCAATCTTGCGAGGGATCGTAGAAGCGGTGGCGCAAGTGTTTCAGACGCTGGATTTCTGTTCCTTGCATGTTCATGATTTAGGACGATATTACATCCCGCGTTCAAGACATTTGAAATGCATTTATATCATGGGCCTTTGGGGGTGTCGGCAAATTAGCTCGCGACGCCGACTCTGCGCTGCCACTCTGCATGCGCTGGTTCGCAGATGTTTTAAAGGCCCTGCGTCTGATGATCTTTGAAGTGCTCGTGGAACAGGGTGTTTTACATAAATGTAGCTTCTTTCTGAATTAATTATATAGTTTATACACGTATGCAGGCATATTTCATAGAAGATGCACAATTACTGGAAATTAGTTTGCATGGTAGCAGCAAAAACTGCTGAATTGCCCACAGTTGCCCGTATGATATATATTGAACTGCCCAAAATATGCACAGCAATAGTGCCGTAATTTGGAAGGTTTTTACTTTTTCCTGACATTCTTTATTACAGCCTTGGGTAATCGGAAAATACACCGTTTAGTCTGAATTGTCATTTCCAATTAAAAGAGACACTGCTGCAAGTCCCCAAAGCTTCCTCAGCCTCCAAACTACCTACAGCTGGACTCTCTGACAACAGAGGAAAACAGGAGTAAAAGCAAGCATTCGAACGTCTGTCCAGTGGTAGATGCAGCACTAGTAGCAGAAAATAGAGAACCTGTGAAGGGCGACAGTCTGCATGAGAAAAGCTTCTAATATTTTAGCTTCAGGACATTTCGATCTAAGTCAAATCTCAATTTTAGGGCTTAGGGGACTAATAACGAGCTAGACACCTTCGCTTACATTTGTTGTACATTACTTGAGGGATGATATAAACAAGAGTACAGATACAACCAGTGGAGCCCATTGAAATACTATCCGAATCCAGCAAAGGTGAAATGCGAGCAATGTATATAATAAATGTTGCTTGTTTTTTTACTTTGCGCCTGCAGTTGGGCTGTCTTACTTATGATTCTCTCCCCATAGCCCAGACTGTATTTAGCATGTTGCTTGAGCAGCATGCAGCTTTTCTGCTTCGGCGATCTTGTTTAAAAACAGAGGTACAAAAAAAGGGTATACATAACCTGCCAATTCATTCAGACCATCAGCAGCATTTATTGCGCGAGATGCTCCGGCAATTGTGGCCATATTTCTTTATTTTCATTTACCAGCTGTGATTCATACGTTGCCTGCCCTGTCAACCATGCTTAAAATGTTGGTTGAAGTTTCGCCTGTAGCTACAGACCATACCTCAATAAAGGCACTTATGATAATTTACACTTCCTAAGAAAAACACGCAAAGAAAAAAATTAAATCGAAACTAGCGCGCCGACAGCTAGCGTAGTCAGTCTCCACAAGGCGAGCGAGGCGAGTCGGGGAAAAATTCTCTCCTCGCCGTGACGTCACCCCGGTTCACCGTAAGGGGCGCCACGCGAACTTCTCGGGGCTAATACCTAATCGAGGAGATCAATGAATCTCCTTCTATGTTCAAATATTGTTTCTTCAATCTCGAAGTAAAAAGAAAAAGACATTCATGAGCGATTAATGCAGGTTTACAGGGCATCTCCGATTTGATTTTTGAAATTTTACTGCAATGTAGATATCAACATTCAAAATGTTTCCTTTCTTTTTTCTTTTTTTTAAATACACCAGGTGTGTGCATGCATCTGTGGGCAGCATCTGGCCGGATGTGGTCCTGGTGATGACGCCAAATGACAGTGCCACAGTTCCAATCTACCTGCAGCTTGTAGAAGGGTCCACTCCTCGACAGGATGGTAGCCTTCAACCGCTTGTTCCCTGGTCGGAAATTCAACACGCCAACTTGATCGCCGATTTGGAACTCCTGCGCTCGGAACCTTCTTTGCGTCATCTGACTGAACTGATTTCTGGCCATGGCTTCCACAAACAGCTTGGCAGCATCCAACCTTGTACAGAGACATCTTCCCAACAGCAAAACAGCCGGTGGCTCTTCAATTGTTGAATAGAGTATGTTGCGGTAACTGAGTGGAAACTTGTTCAAAGTTTGTTGCATGGACTTGGAGGCCACTCCCTTTCGCAATGCTGCCTCGAGGTTTTGCACAAACCTTTCTGCTAACCCGGTGCTGCTTGAATGATACGGTGCTGTCAGCACATGGCGCATTCCACTAGTCTTAAAAAAATCTTTGAACTCTTGCGACTTGAATTGGGTGCCATTTTCTGAAATCGATGTCTCTGGACTTCCAAAACATGAAAACAGTTCTTTTCAGCTTTTCGATCGTGCTGAACGATGTTGCCGACTGCACTGCAAAAACCTTGGGCCACTTGGAGTGAGCGACCACGACTACCGAAAGCAAAGTTTAGACAGCTCTTTCTGCCTCGCC